ACCCAACATCCTAACCCACTACCCGAAACCCGCCAAAAAACATCAAAAAACCGACCCAACCCGGTTGGATTGGGTGGGTCGGTCGGTTTTTATGGGTTGACTTGGGTTTTGCCCACCCCTAGTTTGACTATAACTCGGTCTAAAATTAAGATGAACAGTTTAAAATTTCAAAAATCAGATGTTTATTAAATTTTATTTTGAGATAGTTAATTAAAAATATATTTTATAAATTAAATATAAGGTTAGAATTTTATACAATTTGATCACAAATTATCGAATTAATTGGTTATAAATAATTTCTCGATCACAATTAAAAAATTTATAAGTCACAAATTATTTCACGATTACAAATTTATTAAATTAATAGGTCGAGTATTATTTTTTTAATCACAAATTTTATAAGTCACAACTTATTTCATGATAAAAAAAATATCAAATTAATTGACCACGAATTGTGTTTAGATCACGAATTATAAAATTATTGGTCACAAATTTATTAAATTAATTAATAGGCCATTATTATTTCTTTATCACAAATCACAAATTTTATAAGTCACGGCTTATTTTATGATAAAAAAATATCAAATTAATTGACCACGAATTGTGTTTAGATCACGAATTATAAAATTATTGGTTACAAATTAACAAGTTAACGTATACATTTAAACAAGAACTAATAATATTAAGTGTTAAATTATATTTATATTTGTTTAAAATTCGATATATAAACAAAAAGATAAAAAATAGTATCAAATTAATATATAGCAACAAGCACTCCAGATTTTACAAACAATAATATCAGAATATGTACAAGAGTACTAACCTCTCATTTGATAAAAAATGGATCAANCATTTTCCCACTCAATGAACTCCTAAAGGAGTCAAGAATCCGACCACTCGTGAAAAATGCCGACTTTGAAGCGACCGTAGATATTTGAATTGCTAATACATCTTTGGCAATTTTAGAGACAATTTTGTACTTGTATACATTCAATTTCCACCAAACTAATACGTCAAACTTGGGATCGGTCAAATTTTTACAACAATTAGACAAATAATCAATCAAATCATTCTTCTCAGATTTCAGGTTTTGCATAAGTTTAGCTTTAAAAATAGAAAAAATCTGTTTAGAAAGACCGAAAACAGACCGAAAACAGATTGTGAAGGACTTGGACTACTATTTTTGGTAGTCTCCTTTGATGAAGCTGATGGTGAAGTGATTGGAGTCGCCATTTCTTCATAGCATGCATGCAACCGGTGAAGTGTCTCTTCAACTCTTTTTAACAATATTTTTGCAATTTCTACATCATAACTAAGTTCAAACCCGACTTTAAGAAGTTCTAACTTGCATCTTGGGTCAAGAACTGTTGCAATGAACAACAACTAATTAAACTTTTCAGCCTGGCCCCGCTACTTATCATATTTTTTTCCAAATACTAATCGCCATGGTTCCCATCAAAGTGTTAGGCTCTTTAGCTAATTCATTCAAAACTAAATTAGAGTGCACGCACACACAAAACAAAATGATCAAGTCTACATTTTATTCACTATCTTTATCTGAATTAAAATATTAAATAATACAACTATTCATTCAAAATTAAGGGAAAATGAGAAAATAGAAAGAGAAATTCATTCAAAATTCTCTGCTCAAATCAGTTCTAAATCTTCTTTTACGTTTCTAGAGAGAGAAAATTAAGGGTTTTGATCTCGATTTTTAATATCTCTTGTATAAACAAATTATGAAAAATTGTTTCAATACACGAGGAAAAGGAAAAGAGGCTTACATTCAGAGTCACAGTCAATGGTGGAGAAATGACGTCTACGATAGCAGGTCACAAGCTTCAAGTTGGTACTGCGTGGAGTGCGTCGGCACTACGGGATAGAGGAAGGGAGCTAGGGCTTGGTAACGTGGGTTTGCTTGTGTTTTTGCAAATGCGTAATTGCAGATACGGCTGGTTAAGATTCACAATTTCACGTTCAATTCATTTTGTAATTATATGCCTAAAATTTATTTGCGGTTCGATTTGGTTTTTTGCAGTTTTTAAATTTTGAAATCTAAACCAAACTATTTTGAAATGGTTTGGTTCGGTTTGGGAGAAAAAACTGCGAGTCCACGTGGACCCAAACTAACAACTTCGTTTCGGTTTGCAGTTTCGCGATTTTCTGTACAGCCCTATTAAACACGATCAAACATGTTTTCAGGTATATTTTGTTTTATAGTTCTCTTTGAATGAATTAATATATTTGTATACATCTTAACCCGTCTGATAACCTTTAAAATGAGTGTTTTGGTGAAAATTAATTTTTGAATAGTGATTCTTTAGAGAGTGTGTGATTAAAAATAGAAAAAGATATTGAGTTTATTTACAAAATATTTTATTAGGAGAACGATTGAAACAACTTTGAAAAAAAAAATTTAATAGTTGTCAAGCAGGGGTTTAACGTACTTTTATAAAATTATAACTTCTAAACACAACCAAATATGTTGTCATATATATATTCTTCTTATATTTTTTTTTGGATTGATTAACAATTTTTATTGATCTATATCAAGACTAGGAAATCAATTTTAAAAAATATTCAAATTAAAAGTTTTAATTAAGTAAATATTATTTTTTAAAAAATACATAATTTTTAAATGAGAAAAATTCATAAATAAGATGTTAAGTTTCACCTATTTCAAATTTAAGAGATTGATGTTTAAAATTTCAAATATCAATTTTTTTAAAATTTATTTATAAATTAATTAATTAAACGTATATTTTATTAATTAAATATATTAAGGTTACAATTCCATAAAATTTGATCATAAATTCCATATAATTAGTCACATATTATTAATTTTACATATTACAAATTATTTTACGGTCACAATTTTAAAATTTTAAAGGTTACAATTTGTTCCTCGGTAATAAATTATTTAACGGTTACAATTCAAAAAATTCATAAGTCACAATTTATTCATCGGTTATAAATAAAAAAATATATACGTCACAAATCACAAATATTATAAATTACAATTTAGTAGACAGTCCACAAATTATTCAATTATCGGTCACAAATTATCAATTTTTTTAGGTCACATTATTTTTTATCCCAATTTATTTTTTTCATTGGTTGAATATTGTTTATCCGTAATAGATTAATAAATTTAATGGTCACAAACAATCAAATAATATGTGACCACTAACAACACTTGTGACCACCACCTCACCACTGCCACCAATAGCATGACAACCAATACCCCCGTCGTCGGAACCACCACGAACACCTCTCGACAGCAAATCATCATCTAAAAATATCGGCATTACCACAACCACCACTGCACCACACCACTAACAAAAACCATTGCTCGCTGCCACAACAACAACACGGCGTCAGCACCACACCACCAACGAAAACCACCATCGCCAACAGCAAAAAAAACCCTGTAAATCGGAAACCATCGCACCCAACCCCGACCAGCGTACCCAAACCAGCGCACACCTCATCACAAAAAAAAAGACGAAGATAGATCGCAACACTGTCATTCACAGCAGCATCGACCGACGATCGCAAGGAGCGCCGCTCGCTGCTCACAGCGAAAGCTCTGTTGTCGCTGCGACAGAGCCTTGCAAGGTGAGGAAGAGAGAGAGACAGCTACAACGACGCTAACATTACCGCTACACCGAATCAAACACAAACTCCATTCTCCTCGCCGCTGTATCGTGTGCTGTGTCGGTACTTGGAGGAGAGAGAGAATGAGAGATGTGATAAATGATTTGAGGTATTTAGGGTTTGAGTAATTATATTTTAGATAGATATGAATTGATATTTGATTTTTGTCTAAATAAAGTTTATATCTGAAATTTGAAATTGAATCTTTAAAGTTTTGATTTAGTGTAATTTCCACTTTTTAAAAATAGAAACGCGGATGAAAGAACATGCCTCAAGGCCCGTTACCAATATCTCATGTGCCTTTATATAAAATTCACAGCCAATTCACATCTACAGCTGCAAAACTCGATTACACCAAGAAAATTTTCCCAGTTCCCTTCATCGTCGTCGCCTCCACCACTACCATCATCGACGGTCTTAATCACCACGGCCTTTTCCGCAATCCTAGAATTTGTGAAACACGAGGAACAAAAATACACACAAACACATACTATTTTGTAGTTTCAACTTTAGAAATACCAAACTAACAATCAATTCTTTGTCTTTAAGCTATTTGAGTTATTTTTCTTTCTTCTCGTTTTGTGCTTCAGCTTTCAAAAAATTATAATGGGATCTTCGAATATTAGTGACATCTTAACTTCCTTCGGTCCATCTGTGGACTTCTTTGCTATCAGCCCCGGTGATGGTCGAATAAAGGTACTCGTTAAAGAATTGAAATCATACTTTAATATAAGAAATAAGTGATATGTGATTTCTTAATTACATAATTTAATATAAAATATAATTTCCAAAACCTTGTATTTTATGAAAAGGAATTACTTTAGGTATATATATGTATTGGCTTGGATGTTGTGTTTTTTCTATGTATGTGTGTGCGCGCGCGCGCGCGTGTGCCTTGTGCTATTGTTTTTTAGGTGTAAGAATAATGGAAGTTGCCAAATTTTAGCAAGTCAATTTTTGTTTGTCAAGTCATTAATAAAGTGCGGTCTATTAGACGTATAAGTAGTTGGAACTTGGAGGTGTTTTGAGCCTTTATTTACATTGTTTATGGAGATTTGACCAACGTTTATGTTTGGCAATTTTTTTAGATATGGGACATAGTGAAGGGTCAGGTCCAAATAAAGTTTTCTCATTTTACTTCAAACGAAAGTACATATATATTTAGGCAGGGAGGAGGACACCTTTCAATGGATTATACATGTATGAAGTGGTTGTCAGTGGACAAAGATGTTTGCTTTTGCATCTAATGAAGCTGCTATATCCTTGTTGCATTAAATTTGTTAGCATGTTCAGTTATGCCTGCTTGGTTTGATGCTGAATAATATGTTGGGTGTCCAGAAAAAATGAAGCTTGGAACTTCTCCGTTGGTGTTTGGAACAAGTGGTAACGATGTTCTGGCATTGGGTGTATCTACTGGTCAGCTGAACTGGAGGGTTAATGACTGTCATCTCGGTGCGTTTTTTTGTGAAAACTTGTTACCTTGCATTCTTTTGTACACCGAAAGAACATAAATCTTGCGAGTTCCATCAAATTTCATATAATGTATTTGATTTGTATGTGACCTTAAATGAAAGGTAGTTTTTAGGGCCTTGGATAAGATTTTGTTTGGATTCCTGTTGACTTGTTTAATCCTTCTGATCAAATATTTGATTGTCTGTAAATGCAAATAAGTAACTCTCAAACATTGTTATTCTTTTGTCACTTTTACCTTCTTGTGTCTTGTTACACTCCTGCTATACTATTGAACTTCATGGATTATTGAAATAAGAAAGGGGTTTTTTAAGTTTTTGAACATCTCATATATTGAAAGGACATATTTTGTTTATTTAACTTAAATTTAGAAAGAAGTGCCCATAATTGTGGGATTTTATTTCTTGATTCTAGGAAGAAGTTCTCATATTATGTAACACATCAGTTTAATATTATTTGGGGTTGTATCAAGGTGCATACTTGGACCCAGATTGAAAAAAGTAAATGATTATTATTCTAAATTTCCTAAAGATATATGATGTGGCCTACTGGATGGATACTTTTGAAGTTTTTGAAATAAATACAAACCAGTTTAAATGGATGGCATAAATCGTATGCGTACAGAAGTGAAAATGCAAAATTTGGGTTTGGGTTGTTTAATCATTTGTTATATTCAACTCATTGACATTATGCAAGGGTGTTAGTGCAATTTCATTTCCTACTCATGGTCCACACATTTACATTACCGGTGCTGATGGAATGGTTTGTGAACTCGATTCAATGTCAGGAAACTTATTGCGAAAGTTCAGCGCTTCTTCTAGCAAAGCAATATCTTCTATTTCCATTTCACCAGGTATATATCTAACTTATGACTTTGTTTGTAATTGAATGAACTTCTTTCTCATGATATAGTTGAGAAATTTTTAGCTACAAAATTCAGTAATCTCCTGGTCGATTTTCAGAATGGTTATCATGAAACTTGGGTGTGTATGTTATGGAGATAGTAATTTGTGGAGGGAAATTGAATCCATTATCAAGATTAGCTTGCCAAAATATGTAATTATATAACAATATATGTGATTACTCCTCATTAATTACTGACTAAAACAAATGCATTATCATTGGTTATCCAAAGGAAATGTTGTTTTTCATTATCAATTATGTGGGAACTAAAGATTAAGTTGTGAAATTGTTATCTAAGGAATCTTGAAGATAACTACACCGTTCCCTTGTGGTAGCAAGAAATAGCATAAACAAAATAGTTTGCATTATTGGATAACTTCCCCCTTTTTTATACTTTGTAAATGTACTGCTGCGCGATTAGAAAAAAAGTACAAAAAACAAATAGGTCATTTGTTATTTTTTAATATAATTCGCTGCTTCTGGTGTTGTGAGAAATCTATTAAGACAAATAATTGGTCCATAGAGAATCGTTTTGGTTGTGATATATATGTTTTCTTGTTGGCTGAATTGATGCCAATGCTAAATATCAATAACCTGCTACCCCCTTTTTATATTAGCATTTGAATGTTACAATACATGAATTCTACTTTCTTTCTTTGGTGGATATCCTCCAAATCAGATGGAAAATGGTTAGCAACTACAGCGGCCCAATTAAAAATTTTCAATGCCTCAAATCACAAGAAAGTGCATAAGTTTTCAGGCCATCTTATGAGATTCTTCAGTTTTCTTTTAATTATTGTATACATCTTTTTGTTTGACCTATTTTTCCTTTACTGACAGTAATAGAGATAATTTTCTGACTTTTAATTTCACCTATGGCTTATAAATTGCCTCTATCAGTAACTAGGGGGCTATTAGATGTATGATTTTCTTTGAAGATAGAAGATATGTGTTTTTTTCTATTGTGGGTGAAAGATATGTTGGTCAGACCTTTTAACTGCCATCGTTTACCAAACGGCATATGCATTTCTTGCAATGGATCACCCTGTTATCTTCTTGGATAGCAAGTGTATTAGTAGTAGTAATCCAGATGATGAAGGTCTATGTATTTGGGGTATATCATAAATGGGCCTGTGTTATTTTTGGCATGGAAAGACAATTGATGAAGTACACAATTCTAAACCCACAAAGATCAGCATATCTGATGATGATGGAGTTTTAAAGAAACACAAGGGAGCAATTCCTAATGTATTTGCTGCGAAGCTACAAACGATTTCTGAGTCTGCTTGTGGTCACGTGTTTCTTGCCTATGGTTTCCTAATAAAACCATCATTTGAGAAAGTTCTGGTGCACTTCGGAACAAACTTAAAGTTAAATAGTTCAGATGATGGAATCCTTCTACCCATTAGTCAATCACACAAGTCAAAGAAAACATCCAAGATGCAGAATCAAGGTAAGGTAGTTTTCTCTCACTTTCTCTAATATTTTAGTTGTCATTACGCTGGTTTGAATGATATGGTGTAGTTATGACTCCACTGAGAGAATGTTTGTCTGGGAGATTGGATTCTACCACTAAGAAAGAAAAAAGAGTTGCAATCTTGGTATTTATAGTTTCAGTCCAATATTTTGTACCAAATACGCTTTTACAGGTTTATTATTTGTTGTATTAATTATTAAAGGAAAAAACCATACTATATAAAGGAAGAAAATTGTCTTTGTCTTGTCTACATGTCTTTGGTACTCTTCAGCAGTCGCCTGCATTACCAGGCTTTTAAATTACATATTGTGTTTTGGACAGTTACTTATTGAATACATCAAATTTAAAATAACTTAAAATGTCCACTGCCTTAGTGCATCTATGAAGATAAATAATACATGTGCGCGCACTATATGAAACCAGATAGCCCAAATAGTTCATTTCATCATAACTTAAATATGAACATACCAATTTGAAAACAAAGCCCTTATTGTTCCTTTTAGATTCATCTTTCAGTAATGAAAACTTTCACATGGTTAATAAAATTAAACTGAATTCATCTATCGTTATTTTGCATCAATCTTTATTGTAGATCTGTCTTTCTGACATGCAAATGCTACTTTCTTAGTTTTCAGTTTGACTTTGTATATCAACTTTCAAATACTATTATGTGAAATATGTTCCTTTTATTCGAAATATCAAGTTCATGGCTTGTTTACGTTGTGATGTATTGTTATGATGACAAGCAGTTACTGCTCTAGATCATACAAATGCCGAGGGTGCATTACTTCCTAAGCCCAAAGTTTTGGATTTGATGGATGGAAAGAATGGAGCTAATTCTGTGGCAACTAAAGGTGCTTAAAAATTAAAGCTCTCTCCTGAAGTTTCCATATTACATATTTCTTCAATGAACTCTTTATTTTTTGACTCGTCATTTTCTCAGTTGGCATCATGAATGTAGAATTTCTTTTCCAGACATTATGATAATTTACAACAGAGTAAATGCATCAATTAAGATATGATTGAATTAAAAGAATTACCGTTCATTGAATCTTTGTCTATATAGTAGGTAATTTAAATTATGTAGTTTACTTGTGTACATAAACTTATATATATTATAAGGTTAACAAAAGAAGATTTCCATTCAAGTAATGGCACAACAATGATTATATGTTTGATGACATCTATATAAGTTTTTCTTATATAAACAACAGACGAGTATCTTTATTAGATTACCCTAGTATTGAGTACCATCATCAATTCAGAGTCTTCCATTTTATAATATTCACATCTTGGAATTTTTTTGATGGATATTAAGTAATGGAACATTAAATAAAGGGGGTTAAATGCATAATCCTATAATATATTTCTCCTACTTGAGTGATCTAGTTTATTTTTTTTTACAGATGATGCTGATAAAATAGATGTTGATATTGGAACACTATGCATGGAAGACAAGCTGAGATCTTTAGGGATACTTGGTAATATTGATTCCACGCTTAGCTCAATATTGGATTCAAAAATGTTGAAGGGTATTAATCTTGAAGCTACTGTACCGTTAAAAAAGGTTTCTCTCTTGTGTGCATTACTTTTGATTATCTAATTTGTTGTATGCAAAATCGAACTTTTTCATAACTGGATGTTTTTATCTTAGGTAAAGGCTGCAATCTTATCCATGGAACCTGATGATGATGCTTTCAACTCGCTAAAAATCTTGGTGGATGTTTGGCTATCTAAGTGCACTATTTTAAATTTCTTAATCGTAAATTATCTGTATACGACATGTTAATAGCACAGTTACGACTTTGCGAGCAAAGAAAAAAGTTCTCTTATTGGAAATGAAAACAATAGAAATTGTTTTCCGCGTGAAAGAGATGTAGACTTAAAAACACTTCGAATTTGTATAAGCCTCCATTTGAAAAGAATTTATAAAATGGTTTAATTTATAAATAGATAAAAATGAGTGATAGACTAGTAGATAGTAAGTTAGTCCATTGGAATATGTGGTTGAAAATGAAATTTGACCATTTGTAAATTTTGCCAAACGGAAACTAAATTATATTTACTTCTTCCGTGGTATATGTTTTGTGCTTGTTTCGTGTTATTGTTTTGCTCAAACTTTCTTTGGTCAGATCTCATAGTGGGAAGCTCATTCTTCCATGGATAAGTTGTATATTGGTGTATCACGACAATTATGTTAAATCTCAGGAACCTAAACTTCTAGATTTCTCGTGTCATTGTTTTGCTCTCATAAGTTCAAATTCGACGTGTCGTAACTATTCTTCAATTCACTTCTCGATTTTTGTGCCTATGTACATGTTAGAGGTTATTTTATGAACTCGATATATTTTTTTCTCTCCATTTTTAGTTTTGATCCTTCCGGTAAGTCATGTAAGTCATATCACACGCATTTATCTGTAGTTTCTTCTTCAGCTTACCAACTCAAAAGGTCTAGCCATAAACTCTTTATTATAGTTGTCTGGTTGTCTGCAACTTGTATCAGGGCACGTTAATCCTTTTAAATGTTACTTGAAATGTAAATTGTTTGATTATACTTTTTGACATTATGATCTTACGCCTCGAGTTTTTCTTTGGAAACATATTAACAAGGCAACAAATTATAAAATCACATCGTGGAACACAACAAGCAGATGGAATAAAGCGAAGTTGAAGATGTTGTCGAAGTTTTTTATGACGTTGATGATGATCTCAAACTAGTAGTGGTAGTGATAATTAGGCGCGACATAAAGCGAACATTTCACTGCGTCATTTGTGTTGTATTGTTTCATCTTCATTGTTCTTTGGGCAAAAAATTTGTTTTCTTGATATTTAATGTGGAAGAATGAAAAATTAACATGAAACGAGTTTTTCATGCGAGTTCTTTACTTTCATAAATTCTTGAGTTGCACACTATTTTCAAAATTGATTTTCTCTCTCTTCTTTTCAATCACACTTTTTTCAATAAAATAATATTACACGCGCAAATCTTAAAATTTTCCTTATTTTTTAGTTACACATTCTTTATCAATCTACTATTCTAAAATGCATTTCCCATAATAATGTGTATCAAACAAGCTCTTAGTCTTTAATATGCATTGTGATTTATCCATTTATATTCTCTTTGATGATTATTTATGGATCACATGAATCATATAGATAAACAAAAATCAAATATTCATGGAGTGTAATGTGTAGTGGTAGGTATACTTTGTGCAAGGCTTAAACATTGTTAATAAAAAATTACTATCAAATCGATCCATCATAATGTGACATTTTAATTATCAAGTAATTAGTATTCCAGAAGGTTCACTTGGTTTGTTAGATCGTCATAGTTGCTTTAATTCTCATCTACAAGAGTTTCTTCATTACAGTACTAGTTACATTTTACAGAAATACAATTAGGCTTTCCAAGTGACTCCTTGTGTTACAGTTTCTGTCTTCATTTCTACAATTGATTATGTGATTGAGCAGCAACTTCAATCGGATCCTAATATATTAGTGTTTCCTCACTATTTCTCTATCACGCTAATTTTTTTTTCTTGCTTGAAAAATCATAGAATGTTACATTTTATTCTCGTTAAAGATAGAATTATAGTCAAAGCGATCTATTTGGCTCTTTAATTCAACACTTTAGCCACTAGGTGAGTTGATGCTATACTATTGAATATTACATAAATCTCATTCACTCATTTTTGTAATCCGGTTGTTTTTTTTTATAACATATGAATATATATTCAACACTTCATAAATTTCTTTCACTCATTTTCCTAATCAAGTCGATTTCTACAACACATAAAACATATATTCAATACTTAGTAAATCTTATTCATCCTAATCAGATTGAATTAAATAACACATGAACATATTTCAATACTCGGTAAATCTTATTCACTTATTTTCCTAATCGGATTGATTTTTATAACATGTCATTTTCCTTATCCGATTGATTTCTATGACACATGAACATATTATTCAGTAATCAGTACTTCGTAAATCTAATTCACTCATTTTCCTAATATATATTTTTCAAATCGAGTCCACTATACAATGTGAATATATATTCAAGACTTAGTAAGCCTCATTCACTCATTTTTCAAAGCAAATTGATTTTTATAAAATGTGAACATATATTCAATACTTCGTAAATCTTATTCACTCATTTTTCTATCTAGGTTGGTTCCTATCTCAAATTAACATATATTCAATATTTCGTAAGTGTCATCCATTCATTTTACTAATAAGAAGATAATTTCCACATTTTTAAGATTTGACTGACCCCAATCAAAGTACCAAATTAGTGAATCACCATTTGACAGGATCAAGTGGTCAAGACTTCATCAGGTCACTTGTAGAACAATCCAATCCGATTTGAATTTTATGTTGGCGGTTTTTAGCTGGACCGATCCGATCTTGAAAACTCTTGAAATTTTGTGAAGAAAGCTAAAGTTGCAACAAGTTTGGGTCCTTCTTGATAAATTTGCAGTGTTATTGGGGACTCGAATTCTCTAGAAGACAGCACACAGTACTAAAGTTGTACCTTCTCTCACCTTCCCCCTTCCCTTTTCTTTCTCTCTCTCTCTCCAGATCATTCTTCTGTTCACTCCTCCATTTCAGCAAAACTTACTCTTCAAAAACCCCAATAAATAAACCCAAAATCTCCGATTTAACTTACAAGTAACCCCGTTAAACTTCCAACTGTTTTGATATCCTACTATTAAAAAATCACGCGCACATACTGAGGCGATAAGAACTCTAAGGACATATATATTTACGTTTCAATTAAGTAGAATTTTGTTGGGTTTTTCCTATTTGGGTATAAAATGGCGGGGCGGAGAAGGATAGGAGAGGAAAGATTGTACTACAGTTCACCTGCGATGAGAAAGTACAACCAGCAGCAGCAGCGATTGAAGTTAGAGTCAAAATCTTCATCATTACCCGAAAGGAGAGGAGTCGGGTCGGGTTCAGATGATGGAGCTGCTCCATCAAAAACCAACTTGGATCGGTTCTTGGAGCACACCACCCTTGCTGTTGTAGCTCAGCGTTTTCCTAAGGTAAAATGTGCAAGTTTAATTAATTAAATACTTAAGGACAATGCGAAATTCGGTTCTTTTTTGTGATTATTTTTCAATTTGTATTTTGGTTTGGTGTCAATTAATTATTAATTAATTGGGAGGAAATTAATTAAAGTTGAAATCTTTTCTCCAAAATACAACGTGGGTATTAATTGGGGGAAGAATAGAAAATGAAAAGTGTGGACTTTTTTAAATCAACTTGGACCAAAAAAAGTGACTTGACAAAAAGAGACAAGTGGCTTAGACAGTAAATTATAACAAATAAACGGCGTCTTCTCTTGTTCTAAACACCTCGTGATCTTTAACCAATTATGTTCTGCAATATAATTACCGGTGAGTATGCTCTATAGCCTGTTTCCTGACGTCAGTGCTGAAGAAGCTTGAAAGACTATGGAACTCAAATCTTTCATCCCTTCAGCCCAATTACGAAATAGGATGTGTCGAGACTGCAACTATTGCTTTTGGGTTCTTTCCCCAGCTAGTCGCCCCTGTGTGGGGGTGGGTCAAGCTTGGGGACTTTAATGTTTTTACTTATAAGAGAAAAATGACTTTTACATTTTTTTAACCTTAACCAATTATGCTCTTTATAAATCTTTTTAAGTGGACTTTTTTTTTTGTTAGTGTGGCATTTGTGTCAAATTTTATTACATGTACAATTGACGGGGATTAGGTTCCATAAATGAGTTTTTTTTCTTGAGTATTTTTTGGTAGTGTATGGGCTACTGTGTGGGTTGATGTTGTAATCAATGAACTGATTACAGCTTTTCTAAGTGGTTTTTCTTGTTTGTGATCATTGCATAATTTCGTTATCACTAATTTCTCTAAAGCCTGCAACAAGTCCCACAGAAACGCATTCACATATGCAGGTGTTTACAATTCAAACACGTGTTGGGGATGGGGGGAGAATGAGGTCGTGATCAACTAACGTGTTCATTGATTATTATAACTCTCATTACCATTATAAGATTTTCTTATTTAGGACTTTGCCAATAAAGCATCCAAGTAAGACAAAAGAATGCGTCATTATATATGTGTCTAAAATACTACATTTTAAGAGACTCTAACCAAGAACAATATAATAAGTGGAGTAGATTTTTCATTTATATAACAATCAAAGTTCGTACTATCACCATGGACTAAAGCTTCTAAAACATTTAATGTAGAGAATGAACTCTTTTCAAATTGATAATAATAGTTTATCTTCTTGTTTGCTTCCTTAATTCGCCAATGATGCATATTTTATTTTTTTTTCTTGTTCCTTGCCTTCTTTATTATTTTTGTCCGTCTTTTCCTTTATGGATTCAGTGAGGACACTTTTCTATCATGTTAATTACATTTTCTTTCATGTTCTCCTTGTTGTTGAGTGATCGTTGGAGAAGAATGAGTATACTGGAAACAACATTGTCAAACTTGGAAATGTTTAATGTGTAAATAAGATAACAAGATCAAGTTAATCAGACGGTATAACAGTGCTATCCATGTTCACAATTGTATGAACTACTTAGGCTTGTACTTTATCTCGGACTTAGTTCGATATATGTTTTGCATAGTTCATTCATTCTATGATTTATACCTGTACTGTATGACTTTAACTCGGTACATTCTGGAGACCTGCAGATGAGTGTGAGGAGATGGAGAAATTGTGATAGTGAGCTCCACCCATACTTCGTACTCAGTGATCTTTGGGACTCTTTCAGGGAGTGGAGTGTATATGGAGCCGAAGTCCCGCTGGTTCTGAATGGGAATGATTCTGTTGTCCAATATTATGTGCCATACTTGTCTGCTATGCAACTATATGTAGATCCATCAAGCTCTTTGATGGAGATAAGGTGAGCTTTACTTAGTACACGCTTTGAAATATATTGTATTTCTTCATAGATGCTTGTAGTGCCTTTGCTGATTGTTTACTAATACCTTGCTAAATGAAATTATGAAAATGCTAGAGATTTTGAGGGATTACACAAGGCATGTTCATCAACTTAATGACAACATTATGAGGGTTTTTGGTGTAGAATAAAATCAAATTTTAAGTGGATTGTGATAGAAGTTTTTGAAATGCGTGGTTGAAAAGATGTGGGACTTATGAAAAATGATGTTGATATTGATTGTTTGACTTTGATTTAGATTAAAATCAGATTTTAATCCGGCCCAAACATGCCCTATATTTGTGATTGCATATGTGTTCATCAACTTCTTTAACTCGTTTACATTTTTAATGGGCTTAACATCGTGGCAGGAAACCTGGAGAGGTAAGCGATATTGATTCATCCCAGGAGACAAATAGTGATGATAGCATTGACTGTGAAGCTGATAGAGGAGCTAATAATACTAGGGGAACTTGGAACCAGCTGGACACCACAGGTCAAGGATATAACAGACTTCGAGTAAGAAACAAGCCTTTCACAGGATTATCAGTGGATGAGGGCAATGTTAGCAACCCTCCTGGTCATCTTATATTCGAGCACTTGGAGCAGGATCTTCCATTTTTTCGTGAACCATTAGCTGACAAGGCAAGTCCTGATATCTCATAGAGCATTATACTTAAGTCTTGCATTCCCTTTCGAATGACATAAAATCCTTGTATTTTCTTGAATCGAGCAGATTTCTATCCTTGCATCTCGCTTTCCTGAACTGAGAACATACCGAAGCTATGATCTGACTCATGCAAGCTGGATTTCTATTGCTTGGTAAGCTTTCGTTGTGAAATTTTTTAGCACTTAACTGATAATTTATCTCATGCAAACTGAACGAGATGGTGTATCTTACATAGGTACCCCATATATAGGATACCCGTAGGCTCGACTCTGGAAAACATCGATGCTTGTTTTTTGACTTTCCATTCCCTTGCCACATCTGTTAGGAGTAAGTTACTTTCTTTCCTATTTTTGCTTCTCATTTGTGTTTGCTTCTTGATGATTATACATCGCATATCATATCATTGTAAGATTCATAATATGCCCATATCATAACACAATCCACTGCTAGATACAAGAAACGAGATGCCACAATTCCATGTTTCAACGTTGGACGAAGGGTTGGATGAAGGGTTGCAAGATACAGGCATCTCCTCGAAGCTCTCACTACCAACTTTTGGACTCGCTTCGTATAAGTTCAAAGTTTCTGATTGGAATACCGATGGAGTCAATGAATGCCAGAAGTTTGATTCTCTCTTGCGAGGTGCTGACAACTGGCTTAGGCTGTTGAAAGTAAATCACCCCGACTACAGTTTTTTTGTGTCCCACAATTCGTACTGGATGTAGAGATTACAACTTAGGAATTCCTCCTCCAATGAATTCGGTGCTACCGGTTGCTTTGCAAGAATATGCATGTTCCAAGCATGGAAGATGTCAATGACTGGGTAAATAGTGTTTCTGTAGAGGATGATAATACTACTGTGGTTGATGATGGGGTTGTGGGACTAGAATAATCGGTATTAGTTGATATTTAGCCTTTTTTGCTTCGAGGCTTGACAATTATGACAAGTTGTAGTTTGTGTATATAACTTTTTGAGTTTTTAAAAGTTTACAGTTTATAGAGTAATATTAACATTTGGAGGTTAGTGTGCATATGCATTGTCTATTTCTTTGAAGAAAGGCTTGATTGGTGGTGTGTGACTATATCCCATGATTCTGTATTGAGAACAAAATTCTTGGAATGGCCTAAAAATCATTGATTAGCACGCCAAATTAGTGTAACTCGTGGTACATGCAGATATTTATGCAAATTGTCAAATTAGGAAAGGAGTACGCAAAAATGAGCATTCTTGAATCATGAAAGTGGCCAATAGCATAAACTAGATTATGCTTATGGAAGATATCATAATGCATATAATAAGTTTTACATGCAATATGAACTTCAGAGTTTTTTTTGGCAGATATACAACACGAAATGCTCAATTGTGTCCTCTTACCCTTTCTGTTGCAATAATCTTCCTTAACTAGAATGTAAACTAGATAGGATGAACTTTTCAGCTTATAAGTTGTCGTTAAGAAAAGCAGAAAACAGGAGTCACTTCAGAGTTTCTTTTGGCAGATATACAACACGAAATGTTCAACTGTGTCCTCTTACCCTTTTTGTTGCAATAATCTTCCTTGAGTAGAATGTAAACTAGATAGGATGAACTTTTCAGCTTATAAGTTGTCGTTAAGAAAAGCAGAAAACAGGAGTCATTGCACAAGTTCACATTTTCGAGCCTTCTATAGAATGCATTTTTCAGCTTATAAGTTGTCATCAAGAAAAGTAGAAAGCAGGAGTCCTTGCACAAATTCACATTTTTTAGCCTTCTCCTCTTGGTCCTTGTTAGACAGTGGTAACTGTTGAGCATTTATGTTACTGAAATAATATGACTAAATGTGAGTTATTGTCATAATAATGCTTCAACAATTAAAACAAGTTCCCGATAGCTTATGATAACATTGTCCTGCCACTGGTTCGAAGGTAAAGATTGAACTAAGATATGATAAAGATTCGAAACAATTACAAATGACACAACTGATTCCAAGAAACACATCACGTCCTGCATACATGTGGATATATATTGTAAAGACTGCAATGAAGACCTCCCCAAGGCTCAAAGATTTTATTCAGAAAAACTCTCTTTCCCAGAAAATTCATAATCTATTAAACATAAATTACAGACATAATATCGAACAATTTTAAAAACCAATTAGCATGCAACAAGAACGGTTTCTCAATCATTCAGAATGCTTGAATTGGGAACATAAACCAAAGATTGGTTAATACACAAGCAATTGCTTGATTTTGCTTTCCATTTTGGATAAACAATCTTGATGAGTGGCCAGCAATATTATGTTTAAAGTCGTGGTTGGGGAAACCAAATCTTCTAATTTAGGTCCATTCAATTTATTTATTTATTCATATCTTTTATTAATTTTTTTGGTGTGGTCGAAGTGTTCAAAGTCATTTGCAGATCTTATTTTTTACTGTACAGTTGCATCATTGCTTAGCCTCCTAATGCCAATTGCTTAAGTAAATATAATAAATGATGTTGAATGACAGAAAATAGTACACATTTAAATCATAACAACCTTATCTTTCTACCAAATCCTTACCAAAAGATTTTGGTATTGAGAAAGCCCCAATTGAAGAAAGAGATTGAATTTCAGTAGACTCATCAACCACTGGTGGATTGTGTTGACCTATGATTTAATATAACTCCACTTGTTTTGATTATAAACAAACAATACACTTATATTTCTAACAAGTTTTGTTTCTTGAGTTTTTCATGAATATATTCTCTTAAGCATTCAAAGAGTCAAATCGTCATCTGATCAAGAACAAGCAATCAAATGAGACTCGAAGAGAACAAGAACAAACTTTGAACATTAAAGTTTGGAAGTAGTTTATTGAAATTTAAATGTAAAGGTATTAACTTTTCGATTTTTAGCAAATGCATAAAGTTCAAATTATTTTTCATAATCTATCACTTGCATAAAAATAATTTTCATTCATATGAAATAGATTTTGAAAAAGCTATTTAAAAAAAGTCAAAGTCAAACCCAAAGTTTGGTCAACCGAACTTTTCGGTCAACCGAACTTGGTCAATCGAAAGTCCAATGGCTATATTTTCAAAAATTGGTCAACCGAACTTACTCGAGAGTACCTCTTTTTGCTCTATAAATACCAATATCTTTTACATTCAATTCTACCAACTTACAAGAGATTTTTGAGAGCTTATTTATTGAGAAATCATTGAGTTTACTTGAGTTTAACGTCTATTTCATTTATTACAAAAAAGTTTC